CAAATTTGACTGGTAACACATCGATAAATGAAACGCAGATAAAATTTTAGTCAAATTTGATCGAAAATGCCAATGAACTAAACCTAAGTGGAATTTTAGTCAAATTTGACTGGAGACACGCTAATGAACAAAACCAAAATTAAATTTGAGTCCAATTTGATTGGAAACAAGACCGATGAACTATACCCATGAGAAATTTTAGTCAACTTTGATTGGAAACCTGTCAATGAAGAAAACGTGGACGAAATTTTTGTCAAATTTGATTGAAAATGTGCCAATGAACCAAACTCAGTTGACATTTTAGTCAAATTTGATTAGAAACACGCCAATGAACAAAATCCGGGTGAAATTTTAGTCAAATTTGATTGGAAACGCGCCAAAGAAGTAAACTTATGTTAAATTTTAGCAAAATTCCATAAGAAACGTGCCAATGACAAAAGTCAACTCAAGATTTAGTCAAAATTGATTACAAACATGTCAATGAACTAAATCCAGGATAAATTTTAGTTAAATTTGATAGAAAACATGCAAATGAACTAAACTGAAGCAGAATTTTGGTTAAATTTGACTGGAGACCCACTCATGAATAAAATAAAAATTAAATTTGAGTCCAATTTGATTGGAAACGCGGCAATGAACTAAATCTATGAGAAATTTTAGTATAATTTGAATGGTAACCTGCCGATTTACAAAACGCGGATGAAATTTTTGTCAAATTTAATAAAAAACGCACCAATGAATCAAACTCAAGTGAAATTTTAGTCAAATTTGATTAGAACATGCCAATGAACAAAACCCAAATGAAATTTTAGTCAAATTTGATTGAAAACGTGCCAATGAACTAAACCCATAAGAAATTTCAGTCAAATTTGATTGGAAATGCACCAATGAACAAAATTCAGACGAAATTTTACTTAAGTTTTATTGAAAACACGCCATTTAACAAAACTTAGATGAAATTGTAGTCATATTTGATTTGAACCACGCCTTGGATTGGAAGCGCACCAATGAACAAAATTCAGATGAAATTTTACTCAAATTTGATTTAAAATGCGCCATTTAACAAAACTCAGATGAAATTATAGTCATATTTGGTTTGTAGCGTGCCAATGAACAAAATCCAGACGAAATTTTAGTCATATTTGATTGGAAACACGTCGAAGAACCAAACCATTGTGAAATTTTAGTAAAATTCTATTGGAAATGCGCTAATGATAAAACTAAACTGAATATTTAACAAAACTCAGATGAAATTGTAGTCATTTTTGATTTGAACCACACCAATGAACAAAATTCAGACGAAATGTTAGTCAAATTTGTTTGGAAATGCGGCAATGAACTAAACCCATGTTTAATTTTAGTCAAACTTGATTGGAAGTGCACTATTGAACAAAATTCAGATGAAATTTTACTCAAATTTGATTGACAACACGCCATTTAACAAAATTCAGGTGAAATTGTAGTCATATTTGAATTGAAGCGAGCTAATAAACAAAATCTAGACTAAATTTTAGCCAGATTTGATTGGAAACGCGCCAAAGGACCAAATCATTGTGAAATTTTAGTAAAATTCTATTGGAAATGCACCAATGATAAAACTCAACTAAATATTTAGTCAAATTTGATTACAAACACACCAATAAACTAAACCTAAGGGAAATTTTAGTCAAATTTGATTGGAAACCCACCAATGAACAAAATACAGATGAAATTTTAGTCAAATTTGATTGGAGACCCGCGAATGAACAAAATCAAATTTAAATTTAAGTCAAATTTGATTGGAAGTGCACCAATGAGCTAAACCCGTGAGAAATTTTAATCAAATTTGATTGGAAACCTATCGAAGAACAAAATGCGGATGAATTTTTCGTCAAATTTGATTGGAAACGCGCCAATGAACAACCTTAAGGTGAAATTTTAGTCAAATTTGATTAGAAACGTGCCCATGAACAAAACCCAAGTGAAATTTTAGTCAAATTTGATTGGAAACGCCCCAATGAACTTAATCTATGTGAAATTTTAGTCAAATTTGATTAGAAGCTCACCAATGAACAAAATTCAGATGAAATTTTATTCAAATTTGATTGAAAACGCCCTATTTAACAAAATTCAGATGAAATTGTAGTCATATTTGATTTGAAGAGCGCCAATGAACGAAATCCAGACGAAATTTTAGTTAAATTTGATTGGAAAAGCGCTAAAGAACTAAACCCATGTGAAATTTTAGTAAAATTCTATTGGAAACGCCCCAATGATAAAATTCAATTCAAAGTTTAGTCAAATTTGATTACAAACACGCCAGTGAACTAAATTTAGGTGAAATTTTAGTCAAATTTGAAACAAAACTCAAATGAAATTTTAGAAAAATTTGATTGAAAATGCGCTAATGAACTAAACCAAAACGGAATTTTAGTCAAATTTAACTGGAGACCCGCTAATGAACAAAATCAAAATTAAACTTGAGTCAAATTTGAATGGAAATGCACCAATGAACAAACCCGTGAGAGATTTTAATCAAATTTGATTGAAACCCCGCCAAAAAAAAAATTCGGATGATTGGTTTGTGAAATTTGATTAGAAACGCGCCAATAAACCACACTAAGGTGAAATTTTAATCAAATTTGATTAGAAACATGCCAATGAACAAAATTTAGGTGAAGTTTTAGTCAAATTTGATTGGAAGCACACCAATGAACAAAATTCAGATGAAATTTTATTCAAATTTGATTGAAAACATCCCATTTAACAAAACACAAGTGAAATTATCATCATATTTGATTTAAACCGGGACAATGAACAAGATTCAGAAGAATTGTTAGTCAAATTTGATTGGAAACGTACCAAAGAACAAAACCATTATGAAATTTCAGTAAAATTCTATTGGAAATGCACCATTGATAAAACTTAACTGAATATTTAGTCAAATTTGATTACAAACACGCCAATGAACTAAACTCAGGTGAAATTTTGGTCAAATTTGATTGGAAACCTGTTGATAAACAAAATGCAGATGAAATTATAGTCAAACTTGATTTAAAACGCACCAAAGAATTAAACCTAAGCGGAATTTTAGTCAAATCTAACTGGAGACCCGCTAATGAACAAAATCAAATTTAAATTTGAGTCAAATTTGACTAGAAACGTGCTAATGTACTAAACCTATGAGAAATTTTAGTCAAATTTGATTGGAAACCCATCGATGAACAAAATGCCGATGAAATTTGTGACATATTTGATTGAAAATACGTTGATGAACCACACTCATGTGAAATTTTAGTAAAATTTGATTGGAAACGAGCCAATGAACTAAAACCATGTGAAATTTCTATCAAATTTGATTGGATGAACACCATGAAAAAAATTCAGATAAAATTTTACTCATTTTTGATTTAAAACACTCCATTTAGCAAAACTCAGATTAAATTATAGTTATATTTGGTTTGTAATGTGTCAATGAATAAAATTCAGATGAACATTTAGTCAAATTTGATTGGAAACGCGCCAAAGAACGAAACCAGTGTGAAATTTTAGTAAAATTCTATTGGAAACGTGCGAATGATAAAACTCAACTGAAATCGAGTGGCCAACAGGATGTGACATTACCTATACGCCAGTACATATCAATAGGATGCGAAGATTATCAATTGAGAAAATGAACAATGATCATTTGTATTACTCCGATCAAATCAACGATCAGATAAAAGAAAGAGAGTGCTGATAAGGATTTGCCTACGATAGAACACATTACCTTGAGAGAAATGGATTAACATACACACACACACATATGGGTCAAGTGAGGCTAATGGATTGAGCTTGAACCCTAGACGATGTTTCTTGATTCGATCAACCTAATCTAATTAACATAATTCATGCTAAATCGATCAATGTAGAACACCATCTGTCACGTACATATCACATAATTTATAGATATAATATTATACATGGACAAATTATCAAAACAACAAATTCGATGTACCAAAAATAAGTTCCAAATTCTTGGTTTTAATGTTTGTCTCCTTGCTTTTGGAATCTAACAAGTGATGAAGGAAGGATAATAAGAAATTATTGCGTTCAAATTTTGTTGTCGCTCATTTTAGAAAATTGTAGTATATAATCATATATATCAAGCCTTTAATAAAATTTAGGGAAAATAATCGAACCTCCACATACAAGAAACTTATTCAAGACTATATTAAGCTCTTGTTTGAGACGAACTATCTAAAACTTATTTTTCTACCACATATTCTCTCAATAAAATAATTTTATATGTGGATGGTGGACCTAAAAATCATAGTGAGTTGGATGCCCAGTTGACGGCAAATCTTGGTGTTATATGAACACTAATTATAATCTTGAACCATTTTTTAGGATTTCTTTTCATCTTCTTATTATTATTATTATTTTTAATTATTGAGAGGGTGTTTTGACACCCATTTTCATGAAAAAATGAATTTTATAATAGTAGATTGATGGAGAATGTGTGGATGAAAAATAAGAAATTTTTTTTTATATACATGTAATATTATTTTAATGAAGAATATGTAGTTAACAAGAAAGAAAAATATGTATTTTGATAAAAATGAGAATCAACATAGCCCAAACAAATTGAAAACAATTAAAAACTTAAGACCTTATTTGATGGCCATTATCTGGTAAAAACAATATTTTAAACAACAAATTTGTTGACATGCCCTGTTTCGAATCACCCTAATGGACTAGGAACATAACGTGCGCTGATGATAGATGCTGACTAGATATCAGATCCACCACCAAGGCTGATTATGACTTACTACAAAATATGCGCCAAAATCAAATATTTATGGAAAATATAATGCAATGGGCTTGAAATAACTACTTCATGTTTTACCAAAATGAAACGTATCACTCAATATGTTGTGTGGCTCTAATTCTAAAACCACCAAGCTTCTCAAGCTATTAGGGACCAATACTACCTGTAAGAAAAATCGTGGAAAAATACGAGTTTATAGCTCAGTGAAGAGTTCGAAAATAATTATATTTCTCATTTAAACATTTTTCTCATACATAGACATCAAGTTCATATCATTTAGTAATTCACATGATAGCCTCATAAAATTTATAGCCAAAAAATGAGACATTCTCATAACTCTGTAAATATCATCTCATATCCATGATATAGTCATCAGCTGATATCTATGCCATCATCTCATCACATCACACGTGATCTACAAAAAATGTACCCTCTGACTAAAATCTGTAATCCATCTCTCGGGCTAAACACTTTCACCACGGGCCTTTGGCCCCTCCGTGAACATAAGTCGATCTCAAGACCTCTGGTAATCAATTCTAGAATACGGCCAATGCCCCTCCGTGAACTATATGAACACGGCCAAAGCCCCTCTGTGAACTAGAAGATGTATATAATCACGAGTACTTTTCTAGTCGATCTCAATATCACATATGTCTCACATTCCAACTCAAAAATAATCCATATCCAAACTTTAAATTCCACATATATCATAGTGAAAGAATCTTTCCATATTAATTATGTAGTTAAACAAATAATTCGCATAATCACACGTAATGTAATAGTATAAGTACCTTATTACTATTTGTAAATATATAAGTTTTCCACTCACAGATGTATGTGTAGATAGCAATCCGACTAAATTGACAGGCATTTCCAAACTTTCTTGCCACTACCTGAAATAACGGTATAAAAACTCAAATCAAAATCTAACAATTAAACTACTACAAATCTACCATGTAGTTCCCCTAACTTCTATATTTATTCTTGCCTCTCCATTTCTTTAACTTTTCATCTCATTAATTATTTACTAACAATTCACCAAACATCATCAAATCCATTAAATCACTATAATTTCTTAAAATCACTGCTTTATATATATATATATATATATATATACCAAAAGAGGGGGGGGTCCTGAAATAGGGTTAGTATTTCAGAGATTATAAGGCTGTTGAAGGAAGCTGTTTATAAGAAAATCCTACTCAGTACTTTTCTTAATTGAGGTTTTCTTCTTCTTTTGATAAAATAATATCCACCTTTTTTTTTTTTTTTTTT